ACGATAGATCAGAGGTAAGTGTTAATCTGCAGAGTTTCTTGTGGTCCACAGAAACAGGAATCATGCCCATACTCAGCTCTGACCAAGGCCTGTGTGTTGGTGCCTGCTGTCCCTAAGTTGAGATAACAGGCTATTCTGAAGTGCGTTAAAAATTAAGGCTATGAATTCCATATATTGCCCTTGTTTCATCTTCATCATCCTGGTAGATGGCAGCAGATTTTTTAAGAATGTATTTTAAGAATGTCTTGGTAGTTTTCAATACATCCTTCCTTCAATGAGACGAAGTTTGCCAGTACCATATACTGAAAAACAGCCCCACACCATGATGTTCCCACCTCCAAACTTCACTGTTGGTATGGTGTTTTTGGGGTAATGAGCATTGCCCTTTGACCTCCAAACAAGGTGTGTATTATGGCATTCAGAGTTCAATTTTGGTTTCATCTGTCCAGACTATATTCTCCCAGTATTTCACAGGCTTGTCTAAATGTTGGGCAGCAAACTTTAAACGAGCTTCAACAGGCTATTTCTTCAGCAATGGAGTCTTGCGTGGTGAGGGTGCATACAGGCCATGGCGGTTGAGTGCATTATTTATTGTTTTCTTTGAAACAATTGTACCTGCTAATTCCAGGTCTTTCTGAAGCTCTCCACAAGTGGTCCATGGCTACTGGACAACTCTTCTGACAATATTTTTACTCCTCTGTCAGAAATCTTCCGAGGAGCACCTGGTCATGGCCGGTTTATGCTGAAATGATGTTCTTTCCGCTTCCGACTCAAAACCAGGTACCTTCTCCTCTTCCCTTACCCAAAAAGATGCCAAATGTGGTATTGGAGGGAGGGAACATATATCACCAATGGTGCCTTCAGTGACTACCACCAATCACCTCAATCCAGTGTAACTCACCAGATCATATTTCAGTTACATAAAAGTGCTTTAGAACAGCATCCAGACCAGTTTTGCTTCTCCTCAACATACACCTCTCCTTCTGAACTCTGCTTTCAGTGTGATATTAGGCTCACACATGAAAGGAAAAAAACACACTTCCAATAGTGTAATAAAATCAAAAACTCTACATTTTCTCCCATATAAAATGAAGCTCACTAGACAAATTCTTGAAACTCAGCATATCATATATGACATAATTCACATGGCCGGTGTATGTACAGTGACTCCGTTAACTCACTCCCTGTTTACGCCCATCCACATCCCAACATGTTTTGTCTTTACAGACTTCTTCCAAGAGATCAAGGGATGCAAGACATCTCTTGGAAGAAGTCAGTAAAGACGAAACATGTTGGAAGTGTGTATTTAGCCGTTTCCTTGGAGCTCAGCTTTGAATCTAAAGATATAGAGCCTTGCAACAATGCATAAAGAAACCAACTAGAGAGGTCGAGAGACATCAGTAAGGTAATGATTGCATAGTTTTTTAACTTTGTTTTAAAGTATTGGTATACAGTTGCAAGAAAAAGTATGTGAACCCCTTGGGATTACGTGGAGTTTTGCATGAATTGGGCATAGAATGTGCTCTGAACGTCATCTAAGTCACAACAATAGAAGAACACAGTCTGCTGAACATAATACTACACAAACATTAGATGTTGCCATGGTTTCATTGCACATAACATGTAAACATTCACAGTGCAGGGAGGAAAAAGTATGTGAACCTTTGGACTTAATAACTGGTTGACCCTCCTTTGGCAGCAATAACCTCAACCAAATGTTTCCTGTAGTTGCAGATCAGACCTGCACAACGATCTGGAGTAATTTTGGACCACTCCTCTTCACAGAACTGTTTCAGTATAGCAATATTCTTGGGATGTCTGGTGTGAATCGTTCTCTTAAGGTCATGCCACAGCATTTCAATCGGGTTGAGGTCAGGACTCTGACTGGGCCACTCCAGAAGGCGTATTCTGTGCTGTTGCAGCCATTGTTTTGTTGAATTACTTGTATGCTTTGGGTCATTGTCCTGTTGCATCACCCATCCTCTGCGGAGCTTCAGTTGGCGGACAGATAGTCGTACGTTTTCCTGCAAAATGTCTTGATAAACTCTGGAATTCATTTTCCCATCAATGACAACAATCCGTCCAGGCCCTGAGGCAGCAAAGCAGCCCCAAACCATGATGCTCCCTCCGCCATGTTTTACAGTGAGGATGAGGTTTTGATGTTGGTGTGCTGTGCCTTTTTTTCTCCACACATAGTGTTGTGTGTTCTTCCCAAACAACACTATCTTGGTTTCATCTGTCCACAGTATATTTTGCCAGTAGTGCTGTGGAACATCCAGGTGCTCTTTTGCAAACTTCAAACGTGCTGCAATATTTTTTTTGGACAGCAATGGCTTCCTCCGTGGTGTCCTCCCATGTACTCCATTCTTATTTAATGTTTTCTTTATTGTAGATGTGTCAACAAAAATGTTAGCATGTGCCAGAGATTTCTGTAGGTCTTTAGCTGACACTCTGGGATTCTTCTTTACCTCATGCAGCATTCTGCGCTGTGCTCTTGCAGTCATTTTTACAGGATGACCACGCCTAGGGAGAGTAGCAACAGTGCTAAACTTTCTCCATTTGTAGACAGTCTGTCTTACCGTGGACACATGAACATCAAGGCTTTTGGAGATACTTTTGTAACCCTTTCCAGCTTCATGCAAGTCAACAATTCTTGATCGTAGGTCTTCTGAGAGCTCTTTTCTTCGAGGCATGGTTCACGTCAGACAGTGCTTCTTGAAACCAGTAAACCCAAAACAGGTGTGTGTTTTTTAAAGGCAGGACAGCTGTCAGCAACACATCCAATATCATCACACTGATTGGAGTCAAGGTTGGCTCACTCCTGGCTCCAATTAGCTCTGGGAGAAGTCATTAAGCTAGGGCCTCACATACTTTTTCCTCCCTGCACTGTGAATGTTTACATGTTATGTGCAATTAAACCATGGCAACATCTAATGTTTGTGTAGTATTATGTTCAGCAGATGACTGTGTTCTTCTATTGTTGTGACTTAGATGACGTTCAGAGCACATTTTATGCCCAATTCATGCAAAACTCCACATAATCCCAAGGGGTTCACATACTTTTTCTTGCAACTGTACCTTAATCCACCCCTTTTTCCCATGCCCCACTCATTTTTAGGCCCAGTTTACACCACAAAAACACACTCCGGATGAGTTCCGGATTCATTTTTGCCTACAGTTCACACCACACTTTGCTCTGGTGCATTTTCGATACGTTTTGCTATGTTCCAGTACAGTTCTGTGCAGAAATAAATGCAGCATGTTCTTTTTTTTTTTTTTGCACCAGAACTGCACTGGTGTGAACTAGGGCCATTGGAAAATATGGAAAATACAGTGCATGCATTTTTGATGCAGAAAAAAATGGACTGGACTGCGTGTGGTGTGAAGCAGCCCTTAGGGCCAGTTCACCCCACAAAAAACGCACTCTGGATACATTCCGTATACGTTTTTGTTTACAGTTCACACCACACTCCATGCAGTTTTGATGCAGTTTGCGATGTTCCAGTATGGTTCTGTGCAGAAAAAAATGCAGCATGTTCTACTTTTTTTTCTACACTGGAAACTGACTGGAACTTACTGCACTGGTGCATGCATTTCTGATGCAGAAAATAAACGTACTGGACTGTATCTAGTGTGAACTAGCCCTTAGGGCAGCCAATTACCAGGGCTGAGGAATGCTAATCCCAGCTCAGCTGCAACATCAGATCCATGCTTCTGAGAGAAAAGGAAATGTAAAGTTTGTCACAGAGGGAGAAAAGAAAAGAAAATGGTACACTTGAACAAAATATTATTCCAAAGATAAATTACATGATCCATAGGTAAAAGAAAGTGGTAAATTCGTATGAGAGTAAAACAGCACATCCAATAGATCAGGGGTGGCGAACAAGTTAGACACAAAGAGCCAAAATTTTAAACTGTGAAAGTCAGAGAGCCACACCACGCAGTGACCTGCCAAAACAGACACTCACACAAAAACACATAATTAAAACCATATTATTCACCATAACACTTTCTTCCCCTTACAAAACAACAATGTGTTCATTTCAAGGTAAGTGTCCACCCTCAACACACACATCAAATGAGACTGCGGACAGCACAGGGATGACCAGAGACTGCGGACAGCACAGGGATGACCAGACTGCGGACAACACAGGGATGACCAGACTGCGGACAGCACAGGGATGACCAGAGACTGCGGACAGCACAGGGATGACCAGAGACTGCGGACAGTACAGATGACTGCTGACCTTTGGGGAGGGGGGGAGCAGGTACCTGAATTTGACAGGTACCCGCTCTTATTTCCACAGAGTTTTTGTTTGATCTTACCTGTTCCTCGATCCAGCCGCGCGCTGTCTTCCCGACTTCTGTAATGGCGCTCGGCATGACAGCCGGGTGCCCAGTGCGCATGAGCGAGAAGCACTTGCACTTTGTGATTGGTCCGGTGGCTTCTGGGATCTGTCATGTGTCCCAGGTACCGCCTTACCATTCACAAAAAGTACCGCTTCTTGCGCATGCGGCACCCGGCTGTCATGCCCAGTGCCCACACTACAGAAGCCGGAAGACAGCGCGCCGCTGAAACTTGGCAAAGAGCCACAGTATACAAAATATGATAAGAGGCAAAGAGCCGCATTCATTTTGGCCGGGAGCCGCACGCGGCTCGAGAGCCGCGTGTTCGCCACCCCTGCAATAGATTATTTTAGTGATTGTGAGGATAAATTATAAAAAGTCATGTGCATAAATAATGTCAGAATCCCCTATTTATTGAAATATGCTACCTGGAGCATGGTTAGACTGTTAAATCATTCCCTGTATCTGGGGGTCATAAACCTTGCAAATGGCTATACAGCTGCCTCTTGTTCATCTTGGGTCACATTGACAGAAAAAGGATTTTAACTATGCGTGTACTGCACATTGATCTGTGCATCATTACATAGAAATGCAAGTTTAAACTTATATGTAAAAATGTACATGCAAGCTAAGATAGTGAGAAACAAACTAACCTAAGCATTCCATTTCCAAGGCCTGTCACCATTTGTGCAAATGTTTGTTCCAGTGGTTTTTCTGACCCTTTCTGATTAACCTAGAAAAGTAAACCAAAACAGATCAACAATATTACATGTACAGTATGTGTGTACTGTTACAAATACTGTGGGGCTAACAAATAAATAAATAAAAATCAAAGGAAAGGAAGTTAACATGCTGAATATAGAAACCAATGAAATATCAGCTCATAAAAAATAAGTCTCTAACTGTAATAAGCAAAACACCAACTTTTCCTTTATTTGAATTTCCTCAATTTAATTCACAATAAAAAGAACAGGAAACCACATTCAAAATGTGAAATCAAATTGTCAATAATTATAAGGTCAAGGTCAAACTCACACAAGGGCAGATAAACATGCCTACAGTACACCTACAATATACAAATCTTTAAAAGAGAAGTATGGGCTTTTTTTCCCCCCAGTTATACTTACCTAGGTGGATGCAACATCAGTCCGATGCTGCATCTTTTTCCCACTGGCTCTAAGTGTGAGAACTCTGCGATCACATGATCGCTGATCGCTGTGTTCTCACAGCCACGCTGAGCAGAGACCGGTGACTGTCTTCTCTCCCCCCTCCCCTGTGAAGGGGAGGGAGTGGCTGGCTCAGGCTCTCGGGCGCTTGCTGAGAGGCTGAATCCTGACTTTAAAGTTTGGATTTTTCCCCAGTCTGGTCCTGATCCACAAGATAAGTGCAGTCCAAAGAGCTTCTCTTTTAATCAGTATACAATGGTGACTGTAGCACTGGGAGAAAACTATGGAACTAAACTGTAATAAAAAAAATGCAAGAAGACAGCTCTTTACTGCAGAGGAGACATGCTCTGTCTGTTCTGCAAAAACAAACACCTGCCTGCTCACTATTTTCTATTGAATGCACACTGAGCTGCACATGCGCAGCTGAGCATGCATTCCTAGCACACTTCAACTGTGCCGGAATAACTGAACCCTGTGCACATGCCAGTCAAGAGACCGAAAACCCGGGAGCTGAAGTGGTTGGGGGGAAGATGATAGCGGTCTCTAAAGAAGACACATGACCACACAGTGAAGTTTGGCTAGAAGCAATTCAATCTTAAAGTGAGGAAAGAGCTATTTACAGTTAGTGCAGTAAAGATGTGGAACTCCCTTCCATAGTTCATTGCGTCGGTGTTAGTGGGGATAAATTAAAAAAAGGTGTGTCTCTTAGTGAACACAATGTACAGGAATATATAAATTGGAAGCGACATAAACACACATATATAAATAAAATATATCTCCTGCGCCAATATATACGAGATGGATAGTATAAGCAGCCAGTATTGAGAGTGCCACAGCCACGGCACCAAAACAATAAACTAGAATATAAAACAAACAATACGGCGCTAAGTTATAAAAATGAATATATAATCATACAAGCCACTCAATATTGTGTGGCCCAGATATACCAGAAGACACGTGCACAAATATATATATCATCGGTGTGAGGTAAAGCAAACAAATATAATGATCTCATGCATTAAGGTGACACAGATAAAGCTTGGTGAATAGTGTCCTTGTGTAACAGACAAATTCCATGCAGATGTGAACTGCAATGTGCCAATCCTCTATATCTGGGGTGCCCCCTCACCTTCCTGCCCAGGCCCCTAGGGACCAATGAGCCTTGGGTAATATGTTGAGTGTCCCTCCGGATAAAAGATGGATCCCTCCGACAGTGATGGTGGAACTCCCTCCTCTTGACTATATCATGAATGGTAGATGTAAAACCTTTCATGTGATCCTCATTACAGAGAACGGCACCCCAGATATAGAGGATTGGCACATTGCAGTTCACATCTGCACGGAATTTGTCTGTTACACAAGGACACTATTCACCAAGCTTTATCTGTGTCACCTTAATGCATGAGATCATTATATTTGTTTGCTTTACCTCACATCGATGATATATATATTTGTGCACATGTCTTCTGGTATATCTGGGCCACACAATATTGAGTGGCTTGTATGATTATATATTCATTTTTATAAATTAGCGCCGTATTGTTTGTTTTATATAAACACACATATATACAGGTTGAATTGGATGGACTGGTGTCTTTATTCAACTACATGAATTATGTAAGTATATGTAACTTAGTAACCTACACATTCAATCACAGCAAACAGACAAACAGCATCTGAGAATAGTCAGAATACAATTTTGCTGCAGCTGTTCATGCACCTCTGACAGTTAACCCCTCCTACTGCAGCTTTTTCTGAAATGTTTAGTCTGTACATAAACATAGAAAAAAAAAAGTTACATGAAACATAAAAAGTAATTAGTATGCCTAATTTCAACAATGTAAGTGTGAAAAGAGTAACAGCGTTTTCGTACAATTATCCTTTAAGAAACCCATCCATATACACTACACTTACCTGTAAATCTTCACTCTGTGGCTGGCTGGTAGTGGCATATCCTCTTCTGGAAAAGCCTCCCGGCAGGTCCATGCATGTGCAGAAGGATCCATACAATTTCTATGCAAAGCCACAAATAGTGCACAGCTCTTCAACAGCAATGAATAGTGATACTACTGCAAATGCAAAGACTGTCCGGGAGACTTTGTAAAGAGACTGTGTGGCTCGCAGTTCCACGCGCTGCAGATCTACCAGCAGCGAGGACAGATAAGCAAGGATATTTAAAGGATAACTGTACTAAACATTGTACAGGTACCAGTACACAACATTCTCCATGACAGTGGTCTTTTTATAGGATTAATCACAGATATTACCAGAGAGAACCAGAAAATGTAATTGACTGCCATTGTTTGCAAACAGTTCAGGCTGAACTCTGGGAAAAGTAAAACTCCTTCCATGCAGTGGGGATGCCCACTGCACTGCAAAGGTTAAATGCTCGTTTTACATTTAGAGGACCTGGTAAAAGTAGTTTTCCTCACCTGATCCTCCTCTCCCACAGGCTTCTCAACAGGGCAAGACCGATCCCTGCAGCCTTTCCTCCTCTAGGAAAAGCAGGAGCAGCAAGGAAGGATTTTTGCTTTTTCCTGGAGCCTGGCTTTAAAGTGTTACTAAACCCAGGACCCTGAATTCACTATATCTGGTCTCCCACAGTACACAGAACATGGAAATGCAATTATTTTAGTAAATATAAACTGCTAAATACCTTTTCTCATCAGCAGTATATAGAAATCTAGTGACTTCTATCAGTGTCCAGCTGAGCATTGGTTAAAGCTTGTAGGAGGAGTTTTCATTCTGCTCTGACTGTCCTATGAGGCTGCATAAGCCCTGACCCTCTGTCTGGACAGTGCTGATTGGCCCTGTGCTGATCACATGCACCCTCCCAAAGAAAAAAAAACTCTCTAACCATACACACTAAACTGAGCATGTGCAGTTACTCCGAGAGCTCTGTACTAGCAGCAGATGGATTGGAGACAGTAGAGGAAGGGGAGGATCAGAGAAGACAGGATCAAACAGCCTATTTACACAATGTGAAGGATTAACCTCTTAGGTTCCACAGTGAGTATAACAAGAATGCTTTACTGCATATACAGACTGATTTTTCTGTTGTGGGTTTAGTAACACTCTAAACAATACACTTTTTGGCTAACTGAAGTTACAACATAGAATTTTCAAAAGAGCTCAGCTCACAGCACTCTACTTAAGAAACATACAAGAGATCAGAGGCATCTCAAAATCTTGTAACTAATTTACTTTTGTTAATAAATAATGTATCTCTATAGTGTTTGCTCCTACCAACACTGATATGGTACAACACATTACTACGATTGTTTGATGGAGTCAAAAAGGTCAGTTTTGTTCCCAGTTGTGAGAAGAAATTGGCAGCCACAGATGGGTCAAAATACAGCTGGATCAGCAAGGACAGCTGAATTTCAAACCATGTATGGCTGCTCCCGATTGACAGAAGTCGATCTAACAATCAACTTCTTTCAAAGCGGCTTGTTAGAAAATTTTTTCCTGATCAGAAGCTGCAGCCAATGGGCTCCAACTACTGATCAGTGTATTCAGAAAGCAGAGGAGTCCCACTGTCAAAATACAATAGCTCAGTGGGGAGGATTCCAACTCACTGTATGTTTTCTTTTTCAATCACCCTGCTGGCTCACCATCTATGGCCATGCTTACTGTTTTGTAGTCTTTCAAACAAGATTATGTTTGAGTTGATTGTACTTTGTGAGTAGTACTGCTTAGACCTCGAAGAAGGGGACATTCCCCGAAAGCTTGTCCTCAAAATTGTATGTTAGTGCAAATAAAAAAAAAGTATCACGGACAGTAAACAAGATTATAAAACTTACAATAACTTTAACTTGACTGACCAATTTTCTCAACTTTTCTTATAAAAGTAAAATAACCTATAAAATCTGCAAATTATAACTTTCTGCAAATCACAATTCTGAGACGGCAGCAGGAGGCGGCGAAGCTGTGTAAACAAAGTAAGGAACATAAAGACAGTGCCAAATTTCATTATGTTCTCATCCCTGGGCTAGCATCTTTGTCAGCCCATAGATGAGTCAGTTTTTTTTTTTTTGTTGAACCAGCGGGTTCAACAAAAAACTGACCTGATTCCTCATCCAAACATTCCAGGTGTATGAGGGGAATCTTCCCCACTGAGCTATTGTATTCTGACAACAAAGAGACTTTACTTTTACTTTAGAGGAAAATTTGACAGGGTGGTTGTGCAGAAGTTGATTGGTAGATCGACTGCTGTACAACCACAGGGGTCATACATGGATTGAATTTCGATCCATGTATGGCTGGCTTAAGTCCAGGAAATGAATCTGTTCCTGGGTGATTCTGGAGAGAAAGGATGATGCAGATATTTAGTGATGTCATTGAAAGGTAATACTGCTCTTTCCCCGTATGCGCTTCATGTGCATAGCAAAAAATATAAAAAATGTCCCTAGGACTTCTTTTTTCCCTGACATATTCATGTTATTCTTTATCAGAAAATCCACTTAAAACGCAAATGCATTAAGTTCAATCATAAAGGCATACCAAATTAACGATAACTTGTTTTCCATAACTAATTATTTGTGAGTCAAAATGTCGCTGAAATCCATCCATCTGCAGATAAAACAAAAATCTGTGTTAAAAAGGAAAAATAACAGCTATAGCTAAAAACCTAATTACATTGTGTAATACTGTTGCCTGAGACTGAATTCACACTATATCATTTCAGAAATGTGCAAAATTGTGTTAATTTTTACACTACATGCACAGGGAAGCCAATTCATTTCAAAGGTCTGCCCTATGTGCGACAAACCTGACAAATCAGCTCACACACCTTTTTGAGCTTCGGGAGCTTTCATGCGAGTTTACTGAATGAACACCTTGAGTCTGTTTCAACGTGTTTGGGGTGCCATTAACAATGAATGATCCCGAAATGCAACAATTTTTTGTGTGTTTTGTAAATGCTATAGTGTGAATGCAGCCTTAGGCAGGTGGTAAGCAACCGAGAAGTTATGCGATTAGTAATCATGCCTTGCTGCTTTGTGTGCTGGGTTTGAATCACACTTCGAATTTACTTCATGGCATTTATACAGTGTCTATATAAAAGTATTTGCCCCTTGGAAGCTTTCATGTTTTATTGTCAAAGAACACTGAATTGCAGTTGATTTATTTTGCTGTATTTTACTGTTCATTCTACCCTGATAAACCTTACAGAGCCTGCTGCAGAGAAAGATGATGTGTTTTATAGGGATCTATGGTGCCTGGCTCATTCCAAAGAAAGTGTTTGGTCTGGTGGTCAAAAAGTTCAATTTTGGCCTCATACCATAAAACCTTCTTCCAGCTACCAGAACAACCACTCTTTGAGAGTCTCCCAGGTGCCTTCTGGAAAACTGTAGGTGGGATGTCCTTTGAGTTCAGGCGAAGAATGGAATTTTTTTGCTGCTCTCCCGTGAAGCTGTGACTGGCAAAACCCTGGGGGCAACAGTAGCTGTATTTACCATCTCATTAAACCTTGACATTAACTTGATATCATAACTTGAGGTTTGGGCTTACATCTCATGGTGGCTTTTCTCACTAGTCTCCTGCTTGCACAGCCACTCACTTTTGGTGGATGGTCTGTTCTAGCACCACTGGAGGACAGGGACTAATGTAAATGGGCCACACTGTGTAAAGTGTTGTGTAATACTGTATGTCAGTTCTTTACAAACTAGTTCCAGATCAACCTGCCACCGCGAGTTAAAAAAAAATTTTGATTAACATTAGAGCTGTGTGATGTTAGGATGTTAACCTGAAGCAATGATGTGTTCTAAGGAACACAAAGTTCAACATAAAAAAATTCCCTAACTTTGTTGGTATATTTAGAGAGTGCAATATGCCATATTCATGAAAACAGACAGCCAAAGTGCCCAAAACAAATATACAAAATATTTACATGATTTACAGCATTGTTGATTTGAGGCTTCGGTTTATATTTCAAGTTTGGTCTTTGTGACCAGAAAAATGGAATTGACCCTCGACTCTAAAAGAAAGAACACAAACATGACAGTTTTAACATATAGCATATATTTTCTAGTTATTACATATTTAAACAAAAAAAAAAAACAAAAAAAAAAAAAAAAAACACTTTTTTATTTACCTAGGGAAACAAATTTGCAAAACTGACCTATTAAACTTTTATCTCCCTGTGCTTTGAGAACTGTTATCACAGACCCATATCATTGCAGATAAATACATGCAAATAGGGAATTATTTACAACATTTTAGGAAGGGCAAGTGCAAGGCTTAAGAAAGGTGGAAAGAAATAGGGATCCCGTAAGACAATGTATCTATTCTGCTTTTAACCTCCCTAGCGGTATGATTATTTCAGATTTTTGGTGCTGAAAGCGGTACCATTATTTTGCATGGAAATATGTAGTTTTTTTATTGTAGGCTGTAATTTTTAGGAATAACTCACTGAAATCTGTCCGAACAAGAGTCTAGTAAACATCCCGGGTATGATAAAATTTGAAACACAAAATCATAAATTATAATTTAATAAATAATCATAAAAAATAATAATATAATAATAATACACTTAATTCAATAATATAATCAAACCAAAAACACTGAAATTTGAAATAGAGCGCCAAGTTTGCACATCACTGAGCAAAGTCACAAAATCGTTTTCAGTGTCTGATGACAAATTTCTCCATGAATCATTATCACTCAATTCTGCAAGTGGTTCTGATTTACTATCGCTGTTCTCTAGCTGATCTAAACCCGCTTTTGACCTAAAGGGACGCTTTTTGGACGCCATGGACTTTTCTAAGTTTCCAGGCAGAAAGAACAGTCAAAATGCAGACAGGGGACAGGACAAAGCAGTAGGGACAAAATGTATGTGAAATGGGTTGAAACAGCAATGTTTTGCTATGTAAAATTTGTTTTGAAAAAATGACTTTTTTAAAATTTTCAAATTTCCCGCCGCCGGCAGTGCCCGTACGTCCCGACGTCACAGGGACCGGAACACAGAAGCCGGATGCTGGCATCGGCCGGAGGAGATGGCCGGGACGCTGCAGGGGACACATCGTGGGAGCGGAGGACAAGGTAAGCTCTGCAGGGACTCCCTATGCAGCGCCGCATGGTAAGCCCGAGTGTAGCTCGGGGTTACCGCTTTTGGTACTGACATTTTACCCCGAGCTACACTCGGGAACATGGCCAGGGAGGTTAAACTCATGCAGGTGCTGCTTTCTATCAGAAATTGGTGATCGGTTCTCCAGTGATTACATGGTTATTCGGTTATTCCATGGTGCTCAGTACAATAAAACAATCAAAATGTATGGCACTTGGCACTAAAGACAGACAAACAGATGTTAGAAACAGGATCATGACATTCTGATTTTCCACAACTAAAGTAGTTTTAGCAGAATGCCCATCTTGAATCCAGATGCTTTCACTATTGTTCTTAATCCTGGTCTGCAGGCAACTAAAATGTAAAAAGCAATGTTTACACTGGCTTGGGCCTGTGATGACAAGTCTGAAATATGAAGCCAAGGCAAAAGGGTTGTATCTGCAGTTTCTTAGGTACTGTTACCTTTTTAAAAAGTAACTCCACTTTTGGTTAGGGAAAAAAAAAACCCTCTGGGTGATCAACGTACATTGCAAAGATTTTAACAAGCTTGTTGCAGATTCCTACCTGTTTCTGTTCTGAAGGAAATGCTGTTGTATGCAGAGTGAATCTAAATAGGAGTGGCTTTTTCATAATTAATCTGTTCTAATGCGTAAAGTTGAAAGTCTGCATCCTGTAAAAGTGAATAATCCTTTGGGAGTATCTCACAAAAAAAATTAATTTTTCTTGTAGAGGATACCTAAAATCTGACTTGTATCTTAGTGCAGATTTCTGGGGAAATCACTGAGGCAATCCCACAAACAGGAAAATACATTGTACAGAAGGCATCCAAGTTGCCATGTCGCATTAAATTTTACCAAAAATTACAGCACTGCAGATTGAAAAGAAAAGGTATACTATACTATATTTTTTTCCCCCCACAAAAGTGGAGTTACCCTTCAAGTAAGAAATTATTAAAGAACAACTCATTAGTTTAATATTATTACAAAGGAAATATAATACCACATTTTTATAAAACAATTTTTATACAATTACAATTACAAAATACAGGTGTGTGTAACTTGCGAGCCAAACAAAAAAACCTTAGGGATCGCTAACAATTAACACATACTCCAACTGTGCAATTTAAACCATATATCTATAAATGTTGCGCTCCTATTATCCAACTATATAAAGTGTGTGAAATATACTATTATATATGCAAACTGACAAAAAATTTCCAATAGATCAATAAAGTGGTCATAATAAAAAACAAAAAAATAAATCCATTATCCAAAAAAAGTCCAAATTTGTGATAAAGTGATTAAAACATAATACAGTGACTTTCCGTGAATCCTTCAGTGAAAAATTATGAATCATAACCCCCTGATGAAGCCATGTGTCCTATGGCGTAACGCGTAGGGGTGGGGCTACGAAGTCACTCGGTTTCAGAGAGAACAAGCGGCAAGTACATATGCCAACGGCTGATACAGGCATTTATCACTGAAAGCGGTTTTTTGATTTTAACAATGTGAGTGCATTGATTAAGATTTGTGGAATAAAATAAAATCTCCTTTCACACTGAGGAATGTATAAGGAGGATTGTGCTAGTGATTCAAAGCAGCTGAAGGAGGGAGAAATCCTTGCAGAGATATACAGCGTTTAAAGGGGAAAGGTGTTTTGCAAGAAGTACCCAACATCCATCATATACTGCAGCAATCCTAGTAGGTTCCAGGATATGTGAACCAAAAGCTTATTAAGCCTGTATAATAGGCTTAGAAGGAGGTGAGCGCACATCTATTTCACTGAAGGATTCACGGAAAGTCACTGTATTATGTTTTTTTTTTTTTTTTGTATTTCAATGGTTTTTATTAATTTTAAACAGTATAAAACAGAGGCAACAAAACACGCCCCACGCAGGGGCTATCAATTGCACCGATAAAAAATGTATAATAGAGCAGACAACGCTCTAATTCCAATAAGGCAAAACGTATGCCCACGTAGGGGCTATCAATGGCACATAGGTTACAATAACATCAGTGAAACTCAGATTATCGCAACTAAAGACAGCTTGTCACATCAAAACAAACAGAAAAGGAAAGAAGAAAAGCAGAGAAGAAAGAGAAAAAACAAAAACACACCAGAGAGCAAGGGTCCATGAGCGCCAATACAAAACTCCATCACCTCCCTACACTGGCCGGGGGGAGTGTGGGAAAGGCATATTGCAACCACGGTTCCCATATTTTCAAAAATTTATGTTGAGAGTCATTGCATATACTTGACATCTGTTCATTGAGCATCATAGTAGTCATACGATCCCGCACCCTCTGAAAAAGTACAAACGGACTCTTCCAGGCCTGGGCAATTGTCCTAGTGGCCGATAAAAAAGCAAATAGGAAGCCAATCGCTGCTGACGAGCCAAGAGGCCCGGTATGGGGCAATGATACCGAGCATCCCGGCGTATGGAGAGATGAAACAAAGTGAAAAGGAGGCCAAACACACGAGATCAAAAACGAACCAACCTCGGGCATTTAACCAGATATGCAGTACATCGCCACGTTGGCCACAACCCCGAAAACATCGATCACTACAGGCAGGGTTAGCCTGGGCCAAACGAGCCGGCACCCAATACCAACGAAACAATACCTTATTAGGCTGCTTCCAGTGGTCGTATTAAACGAACATTTAGCTATGAGTGACCAGGCTTTATTCCAGTCCTCCAGATCCACAGCCATTCCCAGGTCGCGTTCCCACTGAACTACATATGAAAGAGAAGTGTGCGACGAGCATCTGTTCAAAGCCGTAAAGAAGGGAGATAAGGCCCGGGGCGCCCGGACGCTGCTGGCAAAGCCGTTCAAAGGCAGATGTCTGATATGGGAAATCAGAAGTGGCCCTCAGCGAGAGTAGCCAGTGCCGCAATTGAAGGTACCGAAAAAATTCCGCTGGGGGAACATCCCGAGACTCCCGGAGGACATTCCAGGTGGGAAAGGACCGAAAAATCAAAAAGTGTCGCACCTGTGAGAAACCATGACTGTATTATGTTTTAATCACTTTATCACAAATTTGGACTTTTTTTGGATAATGGATTTATTTTTTTATTTTTTATTATGACCACTTTATTGATATATTGGCAATTTTTTGTCAGTTTGCATATATAATAGTATATTTCACACACTTTATATAGTTGGATAATAGGAGAGCAACATTTATAGATATATGGTTTAAATTGCACAGTTGGAGTATGTGTTAATTGTTAGTGATCCCTAAGGTTTTTTTGTTTGGCTTGCAAATTACACACACCTGTATTTTGTAATTGCTCCCAAACTCACCAACTTGCTGATGGAGGGAGAAAACTCCTGCAGGGATATACAGAGTTTAAAGGGGAAAGGTGTTTGCAAGAAGTTCCCAACATCCATCATATACTGCAGCAATTCTAGTAGGTTCCAGGATATGTGAACCAAAAGTTTATTAAGCCTGTATAATAGGCTTAGAAGGAGGTGAGCGCACATTTAATTTCACTGAAGGTTTCACAGAAAGTCACTGTATTATGTTTTAATCACTTTATCACAAATTTGGACTTTTTTTGGATAAACGGATTTATTTTTGTTTTTTATTATGATCACTTTATTGATATATTGAACATTTTTTGTCAGTTATACAATTACAATTGTCATTCAAATATTTGCTGTACAAAACCTAGAAATAGTTGAAATCTGACCCTTGATAGAAAGCATAAAAGGTGGTCCAGAGCCTGCTGCAGGAAGGATAGGATACATTGCATAGAAAAGCTCCTAGGAGGAAGCCATTAGACCCACACCAAGTGCAGTAGGTCTTCTATATCTAATGCAAAACCTTGTAGGAAGTAAACTTGCTAGCTTTGAGAATCATAGAAATCAGACTCAGGGATGACTCTGCTCTTCAGAACCTGGCTTCAACAGGAAAAACGAACGATTGAGAAGCAGGATGGCAAATGGCACCTTGGGAGAGAAGATAATGAAATTTTGGCAGTGACCACAAAATATCTGCCAGGAGTCCTAGAAGACTGGTGTACCATATCCACTTCAGGTCAGTTCAGAGCAGTGAGGAAAACTGGAATGCCCAACATCTCAATCTTGTGAAGCAGATGAGGAAGTTGTTTTGAAGGGCACATGCATATATCAGGCAGCAACCAGAGCATCCACTGATTCTGTTAGAGAACCCCTGTACCTGGACACAAACCTCTCTAGTTTGTTGTTGATCAGATCCACATACAGCATTCCCCATTTGCAACACCTCTGGGTATATGACCAGGTAAAAGGCACTGCTGGCTGAGGATATTTTCTACCAATGGTGAAGTTCAGGCCAGGACAACAACTCTCTACTTCTCTTGCTGTAAGAGACCAGGGTCACCATCAGGTGGGGACAGCCAATACACAAGTAGGGGGCCCGGGCATCCCAAGGGGCAGCTGCTGTCAGAGCGGACCAGCTACAGAGGAAGGTGGAGTGGTGGGCAGATCCCCGGTGTGTGCAGGGAGCGGTTGGGGACTGCAGTCAGGCAGGCTCTGGTCAGGATCTGCAGTGTGTGCTGTGCGGGGTGGGTGAGACAAAGGGATGCCAGTGGAGGGCCCGTGGAGGAGAAGGAACAAGAGGACAAGGTCAGGGTAGAAGAGCCCCCCTGCTCTTTGTTGCAGCTACTGCACCGGAGATCCTGGTGAAGATGTGACACAGGCTCAGCTACTTGGCACCAGATTCTCTTCACTGACACCATCTGGAGGAGGCGCAGCTGGACGGGTGAGAGCTTGGAGGACTAGTGCTTCCGAAGGCGTTTGAGAGCACACAGTGAGTGACCCTCCTGGCCCGTTGCCCCTTCACCCTTCCCACTGTCCCCACACCTGAGGTGGGAGGGAATAGGACTGGAGGAGGAGGACATGGGATAGAGGAGATGGGAGTTGCAGAGGACATGGGATAGAGAAAATTTGACTGGAGGAGGAGGGGACATGGGATGGAAGAGATGGGACTGGAGGAGGACATGAATGAGGACATGAGATGGAGGAGGAGGACATGATGGAGGAGGAGGACATGGGATGGAGGAGGAGGACATGGGATGGAGGAGGAGGACATGGGAAGGAGGAGGAGGACATGGGAAGGAGGAGGAGGACATGGGAAGGGAGGAGGAGGACATGGGATGTCCAAGATGAGACTGGACAAGGAGAACATGGGATGGAGAAGGAGGAGGACATGGGACATATGACATCTTCCCAGGATCAGGCCACGGTGCGGCACAGTCTGTCACCCACTGCGTCCATTGGACACAGCAGATGACAAATTAGTATGCCAGGCCACTGCCGGTACCATATGATCGCTGTGACCAGTAACAGATCACATGGCAATTGTACACAATGAATGCCCAGATAGCAAGCAATTGAGCTGCAAAATTGAAAATGACTTGCTAAGCTATTGCTAGACTTGCCAGGCTTCACAAGTTTGTAGCACAACTGCAGCAAGTCTGCATTGCATGACTCCAGATCAACTTTCTTTGCAAAAATTCTGAAAGTCTGCTGCAAGTTCTGGTTCAGTTATGTTGTGTAATAGTCATCCCACTACAGGGGTCACTGTGGCTGAATTTTCATGCTGTAAACAGAGCTCTTGCTGTAGACTCACCACTGAAACTTTGTTGTTGCTAGAGACTTGCCACGCAAATTTGCTACAAATTGGAAAACAAAGTGTCAAGTAGAACTTGTGCTTCAAGTGCTCTAATAGTGTACAACTTGCTAGTGAAAATGTGCAGCAAGTTATCAAGACGTACAATTCAACACTGCCACAAGTTTGTGGCAGGTTATCCTTGCTATCTGGGTGGCTTCCATTCATAGCCATTGCGTGCTATTGTGTTGATCCCTGTGATTGGTCACAGTGATCACATGCTACAGGGCCAATCAAAGTGCATTGTACCATGTGATAGCTGTGGCCAATCACAGCTTCACAATGGTGTACACTGGATGAATGGATTCCATTCATAAAAATGTTTCCTTATAAGTTATTATCACTGTTAAAAGCAATCGCAGTGTGTACAAAAAAGTAGCAGTGTTACTAAGGTAAAACAGTACTGCTCTCGTCACAGTATGTAAAAAAAAACTGTTTTTGTTTTTTCTTTACACATACTATCACTAGTCAGTGTCCCTGGTCACCACCACATCTATATGATGACACAGTACTGCACTGGTGGCAAAATGTAAAAAAATAAATAAAAAAGGTACTAATTTTCCAAAAAATTGTGACAAAAAAATTACAACTTTAAAAACTCACCATGCCTCTTATTAAATATCTTGGACTGTCTACTTTCCAAAAGGTGTTTTTTTGGGGGTATTTGTACTGCGCTGGCATTGTCGGGCCTCAAGAAATGAGATATGCCGTCAGTACATCAGGACTGACCAATTTTCAAATAGTTTAGGGACTCCATAAGTTTCCTACAGACTAAATAATATACATTGATTTGGGTTACTTTTACAAAAAAAAACCCGTTGATTATTTGCAAAAATGTTATAATAGGAACAAAGAAAAAAAGCTTTTTTTTTTTTTCAAAATGTGTTTTTTTTGTTTATTTAGCAAAAAAATTAAATACCCAGTGGTAATTAAATACCACCAAAAGAAAACTATTTGTGTGAAAAAATTATAACAAATTCATTTGGGTACCGTGTTGAATGACTCAGTAATTGTCAAAGTGTAACAGCCCTTAAAGCTAAATATTGGTCTGGACGGGAAGGAGGTGAAAGTGCTGGCATTGAGGTGGTTAAAGTCTTTGCAATTTTACATTGAGGAACACTATTCTGAAATTGTTCTTTTATAGGTCCAGTCATGATACTGACCTGTTGCCAATTAACCTAATTAGTTGCAAAATGTTCTTCTAGCTCTTCCTTGTTAGTTCCACTTACTTTGCCAGCTTTTTGATGCCCTGCCCCAACTTTTTTGAGATGTGCTGCATCAATTTCAAAATGACCTTAATATGTGCTTGGGAGGCGCAAACAATGGCTTCCAATATCCATAAAGACATAGGTGAAAAAGGAAGTGCAAAAAAAAAGTCTTTGCAGCCTTAGGAGTTTAAAACATCCCAAGACTAAAAACAGCATTGGTGAAAGCAACAGATGGAACTTCTAGTTTTATAGTCTCACACAATAAATTAATAAGAGCAAAGTAAAATCAGGGGCAGGAAACAAACTCCTCAGGAGCAAGCTCATTAGTTAAGATCTTGACCGACTCAGAATCAGGCAGTCTCGGCAGCTGACAGCTCAGAAACCGCAAGGGGAGTGGGCAAATCTGATACAGAATCCTCTAGGGTAGGGCAAAGAAACATGCTTGTGGCCTCTGTGATCAGAGTCAGCAAATATTTAGGGGGTTTGGGTCATAAAGTCTTGAATAATTGTGGTACAGAACCTAAGCCAAAAAGGCAAAGGATCCAGCAACACCTGACAGCGTTAAAGAGAACTCTAAGAATGGAATAGACTCCAAGAGTAGAGGGCAACATGACTTCAGGATATAGATATCAGCACCTATAGTATATGCACTGCAAACAGCTCACAAGTCATTAGTAGAAAGTGAGCTGGGGGCACCCAGTGCAGTGGGACTGTTCCCTTCGTGCCTAGCATTAGACATGTGGTGACTGCATGGCAGTAAGGCTCAGGGTAAGAAGAGGCAAGTAACCCCAAATACCTTGACAGCTGGTAGCAGGTGAGGGTCAGATTGCTATAAGTGATCAAAGTCACTGTAAATAGGCAACAGGAACAGACTGTAGATCGGGCCTCCATGTGACACTTTGCAAAAGGAGCAGCAGTGGTGAGATGGCTACTTGAAATTGTATAGCAGAAAAGTGAGCACAGAGCAGACAACATCAGCCCTCTCACAGTAAAACCATCAGGGAATGAGGAATAATGGCACACAATGACCTGTGCATACAAGGGTACCTGCCTGACCCACCTTCTCAATAAGTGAGCTTTCACAGGCACTGCAAGCCTTGAGGAAATGTCAGTGGCTCTGGACATACAGTAACATTTTACCAGCAAATGCAAATGAAATAAAAACTTACTTGAACAAATGAAGCTTTTCCTCCATTGAAATGCACAATTTGTTCAGTTTCAACAAAATTTGCAGCATGACCTTCTGAGTCAATACCTAAATAATTTCAATAAAAATAAATAAATAAATAAATCCATACGCAAATGGTAAAGAAAAAAAAAAACAAAAACAACACATAAACAGAAGCTGTACAGCTGCCTAATTGAACGTTTTTTCATCTAAAAAAAGCAGGAACAGGAGGCCTGACATATTCAGACATTGTGAATAAAGTAGCAAATATAAATATATTTCATGCTAATATATTTACAAGTCTAAAACTAAAACCCATGTGGCTCTCACACCCAAAGTTAAAAAAGCTATAAATAATAAGTAAAGAAAATGTAAAAAATATAAAAATGAAGGCACTCTATCATTTAAAAGTTACAAATAATATAACACAATATGAAAAAAAGAAATCAAGACTCAAAAATTGAAAACAAACGACAGTTTGCAAAAGAGAGTAAAACAAACCCCCCAAATCCTTCAAATATATTAACAGTAAAAAGGTTAGGTCTGACCTTGTATTCCCTTTACAAGATAATTTTGATTTGGTGACTGGGGACAAAGAAAGGGCAAATGTATTAAATACCTTCTTCAGCTCCAATATACAAAGGAAAATGGAGAAGCTCAATAACTTAATGGGGACAGTAATGACATAGCCCCAAATGATCCACAATGGCTTCAGATTGTCATGGTCCAGAAACATTTAGAGACACTAAAGATGAATAATGCCCCGGGACCAGATGGCTTACACCCAAGGGTCTTCAAAGAGGTGAGCTCTGTTATATCCAAGCCATTGTTTCTAACGGGCATGGTACCACTTGATTTAGCGTAAAGCCAATGTGATACCCCTATTTTAAAAATCGATCAAAGACTTTGCCAAGTAATAACAGACCCATTGGTTTAACTTCTACAGTCAGAAAGATAACAGAGTTGAAGAGCTTTTGCTAGAAAATAACATTTTAGTCAGCAGAGATTAACGAAAAAAAAACGAAGTTGTCAAAACAAATCTAATTACTTTTTAAACAAAGGTTTTGGTAAGCAAAAACTTAGACAAAGGAGTAGCTGTTAAAGTCTATTTGGATTTTGCCAAAGCGTTCGACAGCTCCCTACAAACGGCTAAGTCACAAAAATTGTTGGGATTGATGTGGCTAATACCAACAATTCTTGTGACGGCCATTTATATGGGAGGTAAACGGTTAACCTGCGGGTACATATTGGGTGAACTCAATTGCCCCATTTTTTGTTCATTTACAAGTGTCCTGGATCCATGGTGGACATTGTCCTTGTTGGAGGGTGGTTTCAGAGTCTTGGGTTTTGCCATACTGTCCAAGTGGCTAGTTCAATGTGCAAGACTCTGACCTATTGACCCCCATAATATGCTCACATAAGACGTAAAGTAGTAGTACTATGTTATGTTCTGAGTAAGTGTGGCCCAGGCCATTTTAAAGTGATACCGTTATCCATTTTATTGATGTGAATGGAGGATCCTTTGACCTAATTAGGTCTATTATCAAATTTCTGTGAAGTATAATAAAGCTGTTGGTTTATTTACACCGCTGTTGGTTCTCTTTTAAACTACTGGTTTCTAAGGGTAATCTCTGCTCTCTGCTGCTTTCCAATGTGCGTTGGGTTTCTTGAGGACCCCACCTTAATTTGCTCAAGGTGAGTCGGTGAATACCATAGCATTGAACGTGAGGGCTCCCTAATTAGGGAGTGGTAATAATAATTAAACATGTAATGTGTAGGTTTTATTTTTTGAGTATTCTTATTAGTGGCGTAACCCAAGGTTCAGTGTGGGAACCCTTGCTTTTTAAAATGTTTATAAATGATATAGAGTCTGGGAAAGCACTACTTCTGTGTTTGCAGGTTACACCAAGCTATGCAGTGGAATAATGTTCTTACATGATATCTCCAACTTACAAGCCGACCTCAATGCACTTTTTAATTGAACAACTATAATACAAATGTTGTTTAATGTTGATAAATGTAACATTATACACTTGGGAGCTAAAAACATGTGTGCATTATACATACTACGAAGAGTACAACTGAGGGAACCAATGGTGGAGAAGGATCTGGGTGTTCTGGCAGATCATAGACTTAGTAATAGCATGCAATGCCAAGCTGCAGTTTCTAAAGCAGCAAAATACTTTCTTGTATTAAATGAGGTATAGATTCCAGAAAGAGAGCCATAATTGTACCACTGTACAAATCATTTATAACACCTCATCTGGAATACGCAGTTCAATTTTAGGCACCAAGTCACAAAAAGGATAACGGGGAACTAAAGAAAGTGCATAGAAGGGCAATTAAACTGATAAGAGACAAGGAGGAGCTCAACTACGATGAAAGATTAGCTGGATTTAATTTAATCTCTCTTAAGAAGAGGTGATTACAGCAGTAGAGAAGTCCTTGCAAGTCAAGGGCATAATGTGCTAGTATGAATCGCATCCTCCTTTGTATCCATTTTTGTATCATGACTTGTGCCTGTCCATCACTTTATCCCAGAAATCTTTTGACAGTGCCTTGCCACCCTTGTTTTGTATGCTTCAGTAGCACTACTGAAATGCTCCAGGAAAGCTCTTTTCATGCTGAGCTAATCAAAATAGCTGATCACTGTTGGTGTGCCATTGAGAAGGTGATTAGCTACACCTGACTGAGTTTGCAAGTCATCTTTAGGAGGGGGTAAACCTCTTTCTCTCAGGGATTCTGTTTTTGATTTTTTCTGACATGATGGTGTCGTATCTTTCACTTGGATGTTATAGGTTGCACTGATAAAACAAAAACTGTGTCTATCTTCATTTCAGGCTGCAAAGCAACAAAATGTGATTATTTTACAGGAGTGATTCTTTTTTATACTCACTGTATACTAAAATCACACCAAATATCTAAATATCATTAGGTGATATATAATAAATACAAATGAAGTCTCACCAACATGTAAATGTTACTGGGCTCTTATAACACACATTTCTACAGTAATAATATAAGAACTTCCAGTAAATAAAATTCCAATAGATAATATATGCATTCAAACAAATGCAAAAATGCAACAAATCACTATAAATCATACTCATAAACATATAGGGGTTGATTTACTAGGACTCAGTTCACACTAGCGCCGATTTGCAGGCTGCGGCACAGCATATGCAGCAGCCTAGCAAAACGCAGGGAAAAGGTCCCTTCACCTTTCCAGATATCGCAACCCGCACTGGGGAAATGCAATACTTGCTCACAAACACACTTTGAGCACACGCAAAGGTGGCTCCCTGGGTGTCCCTGTACAGAGATGGAGCCACCGGACCAGGCACAGCAAGTAAAGAAAAATGAACCTGAAAACAAGGTAAGTGCTGATGTCTATAGCACTATGTTTTTTTTTAAGTTTTAATTAGGGTGGAATATCACTTTAAAAGCTGCTAAATGCAGCTTTTATCTTGCACTGCAGGAAGTCATTTCACAAGTTTCAAAGCAAGTTATTTTGGTACAGGAATGAAACCAAAGTTAAAATACTAATACAATTTTCTACAGTGGACAAATACCACATATGTTAAATACATACAGCCCTGGCCAAAAGTTTGTAGTATCACACAAATATTAATTTTCACAAGGTCTGCTGCTTCAGTGTTTTTAGATCTTTTATTCAGATGTTACTATGGTATACTGAAGTATAATTACAAGCATTTCATAAGTCAAAGGCTTTTATGGACAATCACATTAAAGGATAAGTTCACCTTTTGGAAAAAAAATAATAAATGCACATTTTTTTTTCCAGGTAATCAAATCTGACAGATAGTATGGGGAGAAGTTTCCCCGTACCATCTGTCAGAGGGAGGGGGGACGGCAGGCACAGCTGTGGCTATGGGAACATGTTACAAGTTTCACCCTAAAAAATGGGTGGATCATGTAACATGTTACAAAGGTGATCTTATCCCTTTTAGTTTATGCAAAGAGTCCATATTTGCAGTGTTGACCCTTCTTTTTTAAGACCTCAAATCCAGACTGATGGCAGTCCATTCTTGCATAATCATTGCTTGGAGTTGGTCGGAATTTTTTTTGTTCACCCACCTTGAGGATTGACCACAAGTTCTCAATGGGATTAAGGTTTGGGGAGTTTCCAGGCACAACATTTTGATGTTTTCTTCCCCAAGCCACTTGGTTATCACTTTTACCTTATAGCAAGGTGCTCCATCACGCTGGAAAAGGCACTGTTCGTCATTAAACTGTTCTTGGATGGTTGGGAGAAGTTGCTCTCAGAGGATGTTTATTTACCATTCTTTATTCATGGCTGTGCTCTTAAGCAAAATTGTGAGTGAGCCCACTCCCTTGGCTGGGAAGCAACCTCACACATGAATGGTCTCAGGATGCTTTACTGTTGGCATAATACAGGACAGATGGTAGTGCTCACCTTTCCTTCTCTGGAAAAGGTTTTTTTCCTTATGCCCCAAAACAATCGGAAAGGAGATTCATCAGAGAAAAGGACTTTACCCCAGTCCTCAGTAGTCCAATCCCTGTACCTTTTGCAGAATATTAGTCTGTCCCTCATGCTTGTCCTGAAGAGAAGTGGCTTCTTTGCTGCCCTTCTTGACACCAGGCCATCCTCCAAAAGTCTTCAGCTCACTGTGTGTGTAGATGTACTCACACTTGCCTGCTGCCATTCCTGAACAAGCTCTGCACTGATGGTGCCCCCGATCCCGCAGCTAAATCAACTTTAGGAGATGGTCCTTGCTGGACTTTCTTGGGTGCCCTGAAGCCTTCTTCACAACAATTGAACATCTCTCCTTGATGATCTGATAAATGGTTGATTTAGGTGAAATCTTAGTAGCAGCAATAACCTTACCTGAGAATCCCTTTTTCTGCAAAGCAATGATGACTGCATGTGTTTTCTTGCAAGTAAATTAACCCCTTCCTGCCGGCGCCTCCTGGCTCTTTAAGAGTTTAAGAAGCCGGGAGGCGTGGCGTGGTTTAGGGATCATGTCACCACTGTGACCTGTCATCACATCGGTCACATGATCAGGAAAGGTCCCGATCGAAAGAGCAGACCGGGACCTTTCCGAGAGTACCGGACAGGTGTGCTGGGAGCGCTCAGGGCGCGCGCTCTCAGCTCATATGTTTTTTCTTACATGAACGCAAATGTGCGGCCGCTCAGCATCTAGGTCCAGACGCCGGGAGACCACACATTTGTGTGCGGCCAGCGTAAAGTGGTTAATATTTGTGTCATTCTCAAAACTTTTGGCCAGAGCTGTACGAAGACATTCATTCATTTATTTAGCCCCTTGTTTTTTCAATATTTGAAGAAAAAAATCAATTACTATACCTCTAACATAGTACCGTACACCAGCTCGAAAACAACTTCTCCTCGAGATAACAATCCAGTCGAAGTATTTTCCATTAACAGAACAGGAATGTATTGCAATAACTGAAGAGATTTTAAGGAAGACAAAAATCACAATTTTCTGTGGATGATCAGACCTAAAAAAACTAGAACATCAAAAAGCAGATCTGTAGGAAAATAAATGTTTAATCCTGTGACATACAATGAGGCTGTACAGAACCTGTTCCAGTACCTGACGGTTCATTGAGAAATTTTTACATTTCAAGATAAAATTTTGCATGTGTGATATGAGGTACATATGTTACATGAGCATTTTCACACGGGCCTGTTCACACTATGCTCCAGGCTGATTTGCACAGAAATGTGCTGTGCGTTCCTGTGCAATTCATCTGCAGCTCTGTGGGGTGCAATTTCAAGCCCATTCATTTGAACTGGCTGAAATCGCACTGCACCAAAAGTACTGCATGCACTACTTTTTGAAACACACGGCAACCGCATCGCATGGTGCTTTCTACCATGCGATTTGGTGCGGGCCAGTGTGGGCGTTTGCGACCTGCATTTGGGGTGTCGTTAACTTTTAACTGCCCTCCGTCGCCGATTGCAAGAGTATTGCAATCAAAATGTGGTGCAGGAAGCCGCACGGAACCACGAGCTCTCCCACACCACAGTCTATTGTGAACAAGCCCTCTAGGACATCTTATATAAACCAGAAGGATCACATTGCAGAAGCCAGCAAAGCAATTAACTTGCAGGTGCTGGAATATGAAAAGCTCAGGTCCAAGGCTTTCTCAGGATGTGCATACGCCTGGTGCAGACTAGGGATGAGCAATCTTTGGCTGCCTGTAGATTGCACAGTCAGCATGAGGTCATACTGTATGCACAGAATGGGTCTAAGGAAGTATGTCACTACATATAGCAGCATTTGAATCAGAATCGTAAGACAACAAATTTCGAAAGCCTTTATATACCCTCTACTGCATCTATTGTGAAGTTTTCCCTGTGCCTCAGAAAGCACAAGATCTTTGTCTGCACTGTGAGTGAACACATGGCTGCAATACAGACTCAGATCTGCTAGCAAAAAATGCAGTTTCTGAAGAAAAGGAGGATCAGATTACAGTTTATTGAATTAAACTACTGTATAACTGAAGGCAAAACTTTTTTTAGTTTTGGACAGAGTGGAGATGGATAGGAACACCTGTTAGATTCTTATTGCTACCTCTGCCCCCGTTTTTGAGATTCGCCCTCTTTATTTGTCCTGTTTACCTTTATAATCAAAAGTGAAAGTAAAACCAAAATTAATTTTTTTCCAAAAATTCAGTCCCATGAAAACGGACTTGTCATGAAATTCTTGAAAGTGCTTGGGGACGCTGTGGTTTTCAGCTCCATCATTGAAAAGACGTTAATGCTCTTCTGATTACATGTTATATTGTTTGTCTTGCCCATGTGGTCTTTTTTAAATTGACAGGACCATCCGGACTCTTAGGAAAAGGTTTGGGGAGCATTGACATCTTGTCGATGATTGAGCTGACAATCCCCAGTGTCCCCAGACACTTTCAAAACTTTCATGACCAGTCTTCCTCTGACCTTATGGCGTGGGTGATAAGAGCCCATTCCCAGAACTTTCTCTGCGGCTTAAAGCGTCTCTGCCGAAGAGAAACATTCAGGATCTATACCCTGGACACACTAGCACCTTGTGGACTCAACAAAGAAATAGAAGTCAGCCCCCGCTATAGCTTGTCCCCTATATACTCAATGTGGTGGGCCACCTTTTTCCTGATTGCTTACATTAAAACGTGGAACTCACATATACGGTCTGTTCTGTCTCACAATAAAGGTTTTATATATATATATATATATATATATATATATATATATATATATATATATATATATATATATATACATATATACACACACACACACACATATACATATACACACATACCTACACATTTATATCTTAAGTTGTGGGGCCTACGTCTGGACATACATGTTTAATTCTTCTAGATTTGGATTTTTCATTCAGGTCTACTCTCTATACCATATGGGATCCTTACGGTCTTTCTATCAGATCTGCCATGTGTAAGTACCCCCTTAGCTACTGTATAATAATAAGACAGAGTTGTAAGTTAGTGCTTAATTTTTTATTACGTTGTATTGCTATAGTTAACGTTTTTTTTAGGAAATTTGTTTTATGAAATTTGCTCTTCCAACTCTAAAGCTGGCTGGGCCTTGTAGTCTGGCCACATTCAGTTCTTAACTAATTATGCTATACAATGTTATTTTGTGTTTTTATACATTTATGAAACTTTTAGTTATGCCTTTTGGGAGGTCTGGGCTTTGTAGTCCTACTGGTCAGTTCCACCACCCAATGTCTTCCACTGACATATGCCCAACTAGTTATATTACAGTTTGTATCCATTTTACATGTCTAATGTTCATGCCCAGTGTGCTTTATATGGCTCTTATATGTCCTTTGTATATGTGCGGCCACCGGGTGTTGTCATTTGCTAGCTGCCACCCTCTTGCCCATATATACCACACTCAATTTGGCGCTGTTTTGGCCTGAGGAAGGAGAGCATGCTCCGCAACGCCTTGTCACATCTGGTCGTGACGTTACATCTGCCTGTCTCTGCATTCCACGATGACCAGGAAGCCGTGGGAGCCATCGGAGCAGCCGTTCCATCTGGCGGACCGGGACTAGAGATGACAGCCCACGTTACATGCTTGTTATCCATGTTGGTTTGTGAGTGTATTTTAGCTTTGACCATTAAAAGCTGTTTTACCTACGACACTTAGCTGGCGCTAGTCCCCTCTCCTGCCTTACTGCTGGAGGTGTATGGAATCTGAAGGGAGCCGGATTCATAATTTGTGGGAATATCCCAAATTGAAAGAGTTCTGGATTATGGTGGAGCAGACAATCAAGACACCCACGGGAGTGTTTCTTGGAGGAAACCATACAGCATTTCTGCTAAATGCCACACCACTCCACACGCGTTCTAAAAATTCTTAATGTAAACCTCTTCTCAATGCAGCAAAGGTGTGTATTCCTGCATTGTGGAACAGCCTTAACACACCTGGCACCGCACAATGGCTCGTCCAAATTTCAGAGATCCAGCAAATAGAGAATCTCACTTTGATCCTAAAAGAACAGGAGAAATACTGGAAAATCTTCTTCTATAAAGATCAAACACCTCTTGCCTCTCAGCAGCAATGAAATAAGATCTTCTGCTTTTGGCGAATATCTTGCTATAGGTGCATGGTCTCTACCTACATTAGGCTTTGAACTTTCCCCCTCACAGACATGTCTATGCCTAAAAAAGAAGGAAGGATCGTCATGACCTGATGTGGTAATTTTTGTGTTCCATGGGTCTATGGACCCTTGTCATACTGTCATGCAGTGCCTCGTTTATTGTATTGTATGTTGTAAAAGCATGTTTTTGAATTTTGTAATGTCAAGCTGATTTTTTTTTTAATCCTTTATTTAGAAACAAAGAAACTTTGGTTCTTTTTTTAAATAAAAGACTGAAATTTTTTTTTTACAGAATAGCACAATGGCTTTTAACCCCTATTTGGATAGGCTGCTATTTCAAGGGAGAGAGCATGACTTAAAAAAAGCATATCATATCAAGGGTCTGTTTAGCTAGAGTTTCCTATAAATGTGCTGGTAAAATTCAAAAACTGGATGGATTTTTGTTCATTCATTAATAAGTTCATTTTTAATTTAATTTAGCTTCCTGCCTGATTGTTCTGCCACGAAAAAAATTTATAAATTTTACAAAATTACAAATGGGCTATTTTTATATAATGTCCAGTTAAGTGTTGTACCTACTTCAATAACATACACAGGAAACATTTTAAAGGATACATCCATGAATAACTGGAACAGCAAATTTCTGGATCTTTGGGTGAAAGAAAGAAATATTAAATGATTTCTGATGCATATTGGCAAAATATATTAGGCTTTTCCATATGAAAAATTTCTAAAATTTTGTAACTAAAATATTAATAAGCAGTGTCTACAGAAATAAAATGCAGGCACCCTCTATAATGGGGTTGTTCAGATTAAACAAAGCTCCAGTACTTTCTCCCACATCCCTACTGGCCAGTGAGGCTGCCCTTCTTGTGGTGGTGAGCCAAAAGGATCTTGTGGGAGGCACAGTTTAGTGACAATCTCTGAAACTACCCAGACGTGTTGTAGCATTGCCAGTCAGAAAGGCCTGAAAATTTCCACAAGGAGCAGATTTAGCAGACTGTTGCAAGTATGTAAAGGCAACTGTACCTGCAGCAGTTTATTTTCTTTTTTTTTTTCCCAAGACAGAGCTGATATACTAAAGTACTAAAGTAACGTGATAGTTCACTTGGTTCACTTTGCAAAATGAATGAGAGTAAATAAGGCGAGTTCATTTTGAATACCCAGTCATGTGTGAGGGAAACAAAAAATATAAATTTTGTTGCTTGCACCTGATTAGCAGTATGCCAGTTTCTGCAAAATGAGCACTCATTGTGAAAAGTGAATAACTCTATTGGTTTAAAAAATCAACTCAATTGTCTCTTCAACGTATATAAAAGATTCCTCTAAGAAAACAAAACATGAAAAAAAAAGACATTGAGAAACCTAACCAACCTATGTATTATGAATGCAACACATTCATAAGGAAATTTTCCAGTTGTTAAAATACTCTTGAGGCATAATGAGTACCTTAAACTGCCTGAAGAGATCAATACAGATTTGAAAAAGAGAGAAGAACAGCCTGAAAAAAAATTGGAGAATTTTTTTTTTTTTTTTTTTACCAAGTCATTGCTTAGCCCTCAAGCAATGTGAACCACAGGGAAGCATCCAAAGCATCTCCCTAATCTCCAGCAAAGAAAGAAGGAAAGGAGATGCACCAGGTCCCTGATTGATGAGTTTTTTTTGTTATAGTAGCAGTTGGCTGCTTGGAAACAGAGTTAGCAGTGAGGTATGCTGTCTCATATGGCTTGAGAACTCCTTTATCATCATTTCTTGTATTGAGATTGCCATTTTACATATAGCAGACTGCGGCCAAGGCTTTCATACATAGCTCCATTTCATAGGGACCAGCAGTGAAAGGGCAAAAAGAAATCCATGCAATTCCACTGATCTCCTCCCATCCCAATCAACAGAGTAAGAATGATGCAATTCCATTGATCTCCTCCCATCCCAATCCACAGAGTAGGAATGAACCCAAATAGACTCAGTGAATCGGGAAGGGAGGTGGTCAACTCCAATATTACCATCTTATGGCAAGACAATACTATGTTCTAGACCTGTCTGTCTCTTAGTCCCCCATAGCAGTAAACTACTATCTATTTCTTTGTGGAGATGAGTGTAGCTTTAGAGTAATGTAACCATATCATGTCATAAACCAATTGTGACCAATAATGTGTGTGTTGAGATCAATGGAACTACATGGATGTCTTGTAACCCTTTCACTGCTGGTCCTGATGAAGTGGCGCTATTTAAGAACTGCATTGACAGCAACCTGCCATCTGTGAAATAGGACATTTGATATAGTGTCAATATATAAGTGGTCTTCACAGTTAGTCAAAAAAAGAAAAACTGTATTAAGCATCATATTTGCTTCTTTTAAACTTTTGTATGATGTGACTAATACCTTTGGAAATATTTTTTATACCTGTGTTTTAAATTTAAACCCCAGGATGCCATCCTAGAAAGTTCCTGGTTTTTACCTTGTAGTCACTTATTGGATTGGGATGTTGGCACTCTAGGTCGTTTGCCCAGTATCACTTTGCCTCCCACTTCTTCTTTTGAAAGTTTACAGGCTTAATTCAACTTTGAAACCATGCTTTATGTTACACTCATATTTAGAGTGTAAAATTAAACACTGTCACATTCCCCAATCCCCCACCATCATACCACTGCTCCCACTTGCTTGAATTGAAGGGTTCATCTCTTTACAGCCTTTTGTCTGTGTTTGAATTGGGCACTGCCATGAATGGCTCCACACGCACAACAGCAAATGCGCCATCCATTCACAGGCCCATCTACAGGGATCTGTAAATGGAAAAACTATACTTCCCACCTGTCACTGTGGTGGCTCCACATCTGTGATCTGTTGTAACTTATTTCAGCCCCATAGCAGTAGGTTTATACCTCTGTACAGACTAGGGGCCGACATAAAAAGAGCCTCTGCATTGCACCTGCAATATATTGATCATAGTCTTCCGGGTTTACCGGCTCCGGCCATTTAAATGGCTGAGCCACCTGACTTTGGGATGGGAATCTTCACTATCTCACTTTGTGTTTATCACACTTTGATTGTAATAAGACACTAGTAGGAGATTTATATAGAATCTCTTGCACTTGAGGGTATTGTTTTATTTGTGGATGATTAGGTCTATTATATATAATTTTGAAGTTTAGATCACATAGATATATTTGTTTATGCATAATTTTCACTGTTTTGAGTGCTACATCATTATTTTATTATTTAAACAGAGATGGTGAATCTCCCCAGAAGAGACTTGTAGAACAATAAAAAACAGCAGAGGTTCTAACCCTTACACATTCTATTTAAAGCAAAAAAAAAAGTCTGCAGCGCAATAAAAAAAGTGTTCAGCAAGTCCACCAAGAAGAAATATTATGCAAAGCAACTAATAGTGAATATTCTAACCAACATTTTGCCATTACATTAATTGTATATTTTACCAATTAAAATGATAACAATGTGAATTACCTCAGGTTGTGCCGAAAACTCTCTTAGTAAATGTCCATTCCAAACAAACCTCTGATCAGCCTAAAAAAAAAAAAAAAATTTATATATATACACAAACATATACATACAGCATAGACAGTATATGTACACTTGAAAAACATGTATCATGAAGAAAATCTTTCACATTTAAAATTTAGGTACAAGTCTACTTTAAAGCGGAGTTCCACCTGAAAAAAATAAATAAAAAAAAAAGTCAGCAGCTACAAAAACTGCAGCTGCTGTCTTTTAAAATACAGACACTTACCTGTCCTGGGTCCAGCAGTGTCCTCAACCCCGCTGGTTTCACCGGCCGTCTTCTCTCCCTGGCGCCACCATCTTCAGTGTGAGCACCCGACTGTGGCAGCTTGCTGCTTCACAGCCCGGTGCCCACTGCGCATGCGTGAGAAGCGCTGAGCTTTGTGAATGGCCCCGTAGTCTTCTGGGATCGGTCACGTGTTCCAGATCACAATGGGGAGGGAGGGAGGACAACTTTCACTTCCAAGGCGATCGCAGCAGAAGTGGGAGCGGGTACCTGTCAAATTCGGTACCCGCTCCCCAAGGTGCTAATCCTTAATGGGGAGCGGGGGATAAAGGCTTAAAGTGGAACTTCCCCTTTTGGGTGGAGCTCCACTTTAAATTAGATACTTACTACAACAAATTGAGAAGTTTTTAGCAATTGGTAGTTTTCCTTGACACCAGCAAGAGAACTTGCTAATTCACACTATTCTGAAGGCAAAAAATAAACATTACTTTATACTAAACACACACACACTATACATATATATATATATATATATATATATATATATATATATATATATATATACACACACACACACACACACACACACACACACACACACACACACACACTACATTGTCAAAAGTATTGGGGACACCCCTACAAATCATTGGATTCAGGTATTCCAATCACCTCCATGGTCAAAAGGTGTATAAAATCAAGCACCTAGGCATACAGTGGAAATGTGTTCTCTGAAGTGACGAATCATGCTTCTGGCAATCTGATGGACATGTCTGGGTTTGGTAGCTGCCAGGAGAACGGTATTTGCCTGACTGCATTGTGCCCAGTGTAAAGTTTGGTGGAGGGGGATTATGGTGTGGGGTTGTTTCTCAGGGCTTAGCCTCTTAGTTTCAGTGAAGGAAACTCTTAAGGCGTCAGCATACCAAGACATTTTGGATAATTTTATGCTCCCAACTTTGTGGGAACAGTTTGGAAATGGCTCCTTCCTGGTCCAAAATGACTGCAAACCAGTGCACAAAGCAAGGTCCATAAAGACATGGATGAGTGAGTTTGGGGTGGAGGAACTTGACTGGCCTACACAGAGACTTGACCTCAATCCGAATAAACACCTTTGGGATGAAATAGAGTGGAGACTGCAGGCCAGGCCTCCTCCCCTGACATCAGTGCCTGACCTCACAAATGTACTTCGGGAAGAATGGTCAAACATTCCCATAGACCAGTGGTTCTCAACCTTTCTAATGCCGTGACCCCTTAATACAGTTCCTCATGTTGTGGTGACCCCCAACCATAAAATTATTTTTGTTGCTACTTCATAACTGTAATTTTGCAGTGGGAGGACTAGCGCCCCATCACTGATGTCAGTGGGATGAATAGTGTCAAATCGTTGGTATCAGTGGGAGGAATAGTGTCCCATCATTGGTGTCAGTGGGAGGAATAGTGTCCCATCATTGGTGTCAGTGGGAGGAATAGTGTCCCATCATTGGTGTCAGTGGAGGAATAGTGCCCCATCATTGTGTGGGAGGAATAGTGCCCCATCATTGGTGTCAGTGGGAGGAATAGTGTTCCATCATTGGTGTCAGCGGGAGGAATAGTGCCCCAATCATTGGCGTCAGGGGAGGAATAGTGCCCCATCATTGGTGTCAGTGGGAGGAATAGTGCCCATCATTGGTGTCAGTGGGAGGAATAGTGCCCATCATTGGCGTCAGTGGGAGGAATAGTGCCCAATCATTGGCGTCAGTGGGAGGAATAGTGCCCATCATTGGCGTCAGTGGAGGGAATAGTGCCCCATCATTGGCGTCAGTGGGAGGAATAGTGTCCCATCATTGGCATCAGTGGGAGGAATAGTGTCCCATCATTGGTGTCAGTGGGAGGAATGTGTCCCATCATTGGCGTCAGTGGGAGGAATAGTGTCCCATCATTGGCGTCAGTGGGAGGAATAGTGCCC